GTTAGAAAACAAGATGAAGTGGATTTTGTTAGTCGCCGTCAATCCGACTTTCTGTTCAGAATGTTGAAGTTCAACTTTCCCATTGCCTTGGATTGCATAACATTGGATGCTCTGTCCATACTGAATCCGTCAATGCATTCATATTTATAATCAATCCACAAACCAGTCAACTATACACTCCAGATCAAAAAAGAGATGAATCCTCTTGAGTGAACTATCATCCTACGTTGGGAGTTTTTTAACACAGCAAATATGTTTTATATTGAAATGTCATTCTCTGATTATTTTCTGAACATTACATAATACTTAGCCAAAACCAGCATGGTTGCATAGTGTTGATAAAATGTATTCTTAACAGATACTTACAGCCTCTAAGGCAAGTTATGATAACTCCTAATTTCTTCTCCCTGAATCAGCTTTTAATGTGAACAAGGGGAATAAAATGGGAAGCAGTTGCAAGCTTTTGTTCACACCTTAAAAAAAAGTCACTCTGAAGAAAACAATCAGACACTTAAAACGGCTTGTATTTCAGATTCAGATTGTAAATTTCCCCATTGTGGGATAAATAAAGAATTATCTTATCTTATCTTCAGATTCAGACAACTTTATTTATCCCAGAAGGGCAATTCAGTTTCCCAGCCTACCGAGCCATTGAAAAACACAAAGATAACATTAATGAAACAAGCACATCACAGCAGCATTCAAACAGTTACATTCACATATTTGAGATTTCAGTGGCCTGTCGTAATAATCCACATGATTAAGCCTCACTGCATCAAATAACCTTTTACATCAAATGAAATGAAACTACCATCATGTCACCTCACTAATGAATATTTTTCCACTTCATTTGATCACTGCATCTGTTGGCCCAGAGACACAACGCCATGCTACGTTCATGTGTTTAGATGTCTTCAGCATGTGTTGAAGCTCCTTGAGTCTCTTCTCATTACAAGTGTGTAGTGCTTGATAGAGAAGAAGTGAGCTGTGAACATGTTGCTAATTAGTGCCAAACATGAGGGTAAATGAGGCGGGCTTGCGTCTGTAATTAGCTTCATCAGCATCAGTGGGCAGATTTCATTCTGCACTGTCTGCTTAGCTCAGGGAAAGCCACTGGGAACACAGGACATACAAGGACTTCATTGTACAATACACATGGGAATAACTTCCAAATACATAAACACACCAATATTCTTGCCCAGTGTTTTGCTCTACTTGTTTGTTCCATCTCTCAAGTGTGTATTGGCAGATAGAATCAGCTGACAGATCACACAAACAAACAAATAAATGCACATTTTTCCCAGTGAACCACTAAATCGTAATGTGCTGTTGGCAAATAAATCTCTGTTCTATGAGCCAAATATGTTTAAATGAAATCCATGTCCAAATTGAGAGAGAGAATAGGTTCATTGTGTTGCTGACTGAAGGCTGGCTGGCTAAAGACAGAGGTGGCTGGCAGTCTGCCTGGCTGGGTAACAAGCTCACTCGTGACCCATGTGACAATGAGTGGCCAAGTTGAGCCTGTGTATGAGCGAGCAAGCATGACCTCACGCCACCTCCGCTGTCCAGACAAGGCACAATGCTGCCAGAGCTAAATGTCAGCAGGACAAAAAAAACACAGATTTCTGTCACATAGATGTCAACATTAGGCAATAGTTCAGAAAATCGATCCTAAATACAGAAACTAACCATGAAATGTGTTTTGTTTTTGTCAAAGAAGTTATTTATCGTTTTGCAAAATGCCACTTACAAACAGTTAAAAGGGAAAGTGGAAATATTTTTCTCGGGAAAAGTCCTGCTTAAGAATAAATTCTTTCCATTGTAAGCGTATTGTACAGCTTTACACTGGGCAGCTTAGTAACACACTAAATTCGTAGCTATAGATTTTGTGCATTTACATACAACCTTCTGGACATCTGATCATGATCACTAAAGTTCCTATTTTTGTGCATGATACTAAAGAATGAAGCTAAAGATGTTCCTTAATCGTAAGGTTTTTGTTCAACAGCAACACTTTAACATTGCTTTACTAGGCCACCTTAAAGTAGCAGCTCCTGACTGAAATGAGTTTATAAATGCTGTGTGACTTAGAGCTTTATTCTCCTTAGCTATTTAAGACCAAATAAACAAGGGACATCACATAATGGCTTCTTAAAGATCAGAAGTAGTGTTCAGTTTGTAGAATAAAATGCTTGTTTGCTTAAAGCGTACTCCACAAAATAATCATTTCACTTTATCACATTCACGGCGGATAATTCAAAAAGTTATCATGACTGCAAAGATGTCAACTATTTTATTCCACACACTCTGAATTAATGCTAATCGGGCAATGGTTCTGCTCATTCAGTAGAGAAGGCATCCCATAATGGCTGAAGTCCTGCTGGTTTGACTCCTGATCAGCAACAATTAAGTGCTGTCATCTTTAACATTCTCCACATTTCCTGTGTCTCTCCTGCTGTCCAATGAAGGCAAAAGGCCAAAAACATGTACATTTGCCACACTGAAACTAAACCACCAACAGCTCATTAGTCTTCAGCCTCTACACTGACTCAAGTGACATGACATATTTCAGAGCACCTGTCCAAAAAAAAAAAAAGCTTTTCCAATTTGTTTCCCTCAAAAAAAAGTGTTTTCTCCTACATATGTAAATTGTGTGTTTGTCAGGTGTTCTATTTTAAATAATTTGCAGAGCACTTGTGAGGAATGTTCATTTTGTGTTGATCTTTCTGGCCCTGTGGACATAATACTCCTTTACTCATTGCTAATCCTGCCGTGTATGTGTGGCATAAGTATTCTTATCTAACCAAATATTTCATCCTGCTTAATTTTAACCATCTACCATACAAGTCGCCATGGAACTTGTCTGGGGAAAATACAGACAATAGCTCTTTCAGTCTGCAGGCTGCAAATCTCTTTGATGGAATCTGACTAGATGGCAGTGGTGTCAGGCGTTAAAAATAACTCAAGAAATGATGACCCAGTTAGCTTTTTTTTGGTCATTTTGGGTCACTACTGCATTAAATTATGACTGATTTATAGCCAGTTAAAACTCCTCATTGTGTATTTCAGTTAGAAATGTCTTCTGAAATGTCTCTGTTTATTTGCTACTTTAAATCTAAGAAGGTATTTCAATCTGCACAGCCTTATGTTCAGGGGCATGTCCAGACTTTTTGGACTGGGGTGGACTGAAAACTATGAGCTGCCTGTTGCAACATAAGTCCCACCTCTGGTAAGGCAAATAGCCAATCACAGTTAGGGATTCTGGGGTGGCACCTCGGGTGGCCAATAAGATTTCAAGTCGGGCCCATGCCACCCCTGGTCCCCCTCTCTGGACACGCCCCTGCTTATGTTCCTTTAAGAGAAGTGTGATCCTTCTCTTTGACTTGTATAATAGAAAGATATGTTTTATTATACCACAGTAGTACTTAAGACATCTTGTTGTGGAGCCCAGTTCTCTGTATCATCTTGCTGTTTTACATGATTTCAGATTGTTTTCTGGACTTTTGCTGTTGTCTCTGGAAGTTTGTTCTTGAAGTCTTTGCGTTCAACGGCGTCTTTAATACTTAGACAGTATGTTGTTTAATCTTTTATCGGCCAAGGTTTTAAATGGTTCATATTATAAAACGAATTGATAACACAAATTTGTTTTTGTATGGTTGAAATGTGAAAATTTTCTCAAAAGCTTGAACTGATTTACCCTTACAAAGTTATGCACCCTCAGAAACATCGTAAAGTCTTGACCAAGTATGTTCCTCATTGGGCGTTTTGATTTTCCTGAACGGTTTAGAAGTTTGTGGCAGGTATTTAGTCCAAGCAAGTGGTGAGTGGGAGTGGGGTTTCATTACATCTGAGTTGTTTGTTTGTGGGGATTTAAGATGCTGTTGAACTGGGGTGCTTGTGGCGCAGTGATTAGTGCGTGCCCCATGTGTGGAGGCTATAGTCTTCCAAGCGGGCGGCCCAGGTTTCAAATCACACCTGTGGCTCCTTTCCCGCATGTCATACCTCCATTAAAGGCACAAAAAGCCCCCCCCCCCCCCCCCCCCCAAAAAAAAAAAAAAGAGATGGTGAATTTGAGGCACAACCAACTGGTACAGAATAGATGTAACACTGCATTTGTCACCACCAACACAGGTACACATGTAAATGGACTTGTGAATGGGAAATAAGGAACATAATACACTTGTGCTCAGTTTTCTAGATGGATAAAATGAAGACACAATAATGTATTGATTATATATTTTTGAAAATATGATGCGTCATCTCTTTTTTTGTTTTTTTTTATAATTTGGGTTTTTATAAATTCTCCAAAGCCTGAGCCAGAATGCTAGATCCCTTGGACTTTATTTATTTTGTCACTGCCTGCAATGTTGCTAGTCACTGTTTTTTAACCTCATAGAAAGAAATTAATTTCACCATGAATGTAATCCTAGCTCCCTCTGTGCAGGGGCCCAGACCAATTACTGAGATTTTCTAGTGAAGTGATAACGAAATGCTCTATCACTGGCTACCAATTTGAGAAGTCTACCTCCTCCGTTTGTGTGCTTCCCTTTGAATTATTCTTGTTTCTCTTGCTTGATTTAAAGAATGTAGGGCCTGCATCATTGGCAAATGTTGTTTATAGTCAGAAGTCACACACATTTTAAGTTTAGTCAGTATTGTTTTCAGATATTGAATTTAGTATTGGGCAGCAACTTAAAGTTATTTATAGTTTGGTTAAATAGAACATTCATTTACACGATGGGATGTATTATTTTGTCTATAGATTGGTACAGATATCCAATTATTAAATTTCATTTGTAACCAAAGTTGTTTTTTCCAACTAACAGTCCAATATATATCCCTAAGTATTCGACATTTCTCACAAGTCGAGATCCTGGAACCAGAGAATCTTTGGCATTTTTATGCTTTAATTATTTGTGATAATAAGAACGTCAAAAATCATATCTGATATTTTCTTTTCTAAGTTTATCTCTAATTTGTCATCTCTGCCTTCTTTTCAGACACTGACTCAGTTGGAGTACTGCGATGACCAGCAAGCATCATAGCCATGCAGAGAGCGCTCACTCCGCAGAAAAGAAGCCATCCACTGCATCCCCCAAGCTCCATGTCCAGCGATCGCTGTCGAAGGAGAACATCACTATCCACTTCTCAGCTCTTGGGAAGGAAGAAGAAGAGGAGGAAGAAGAGTTGTACATTACCTCCGTCTCAGCTACCTCAGCCATTCGGAATGACTCAAACATTGTGACAGCTTTAGAAGCAAGCGAGGAGATGTTTGAAGGGGTAACACCAGACTCCAGACTTTCTTTAGTTTCTAGAAAACACACCGACAGTTTACCCACAGACACGCCGTCATTGGATGTTGCTGAGAATAAAGGCTCAACTTCTTCCTCTTCTCCTTCTAAATCTTCAAGCTTTCCCTCCAGCGACAAACCGTTTCTCAGTTTGGTGAAGTCTCTCTCCTCTGACATGGAGACTTGTGAGGGGATCCCCTCTGTTGCTGCTCCTACAGTTAGGCATCGGCACCTAATGAAGAACTTTGTCAAATCTTTATCTTCAGATACATCCCAGGACACATCCTCCTCCTCCACCTCGTCCTCCACGCCCTACCGTCTTCCAGAATCCCGCCTCAACCTGCAACTTTTCAAGCAATTCACACAGTCCCGGTCTGGTGGCACATCATCAGCAAGTGATTCAAAAACAGCCCCTTCCTCTCCGTTGACCTCACCAGACAATCGCAGCTTTTTCAAAGTCTCAGAAGTGGAGGCCAGGATTGAAGACACCAAGCGGCGTCTCTCTGAGGCCATCTCCGAACCACTCCAGCTGCTGAGTAAGATCATCGATGAGAGGAGCAGCAGTCTGTCTAGTAGCAGCCTTTACCGGCCCAAGGCCCTCTCTGCCAGTGCTACAGAGCTCTCCAACATAAGTTCTGTCAATGGTCACCCGGAGAGCAACAACAATTACTGCATCAAGGAGGAAGAAGGAGGTGACTGGGAGGCAGAGAGCCCCAACAGCCATGCTCCTGCTGAACTGCCTGATCCTCCCAGTGCTGACACCGAGTGCCCCAACAAACCCTCTTCACTGTCCATGTCATTGGACAAATGCTCCATGTCTGCTCTTGCCAAACAAGAGGATGAGGACTTTTGCATTCTTTACAACAAAGACTTTGACATTTGCACAGAGACAGATGGTGAGGGTGATAGAACTCTTGATTCTGGAAGCGGGAGCCCAACTAAAGTGCCACTAAGTGGTAGTACTGAACCATGCAGTGAAGATGAATCACAAAGCATTGAGCCGGCACCAAGTGTTCCACACTACACTCTCATCATCCTTACTCTTGTGGTCTATGGGTGTTTTGTGTTACCGCTTCCCACTTACGTCGGAGGAGTTCTGCTTGGGATCGCTCTGGGGTTCCTTTTAGCCATAGGTGTGGTCTGGTTGACAGGACCAAAACCTTCCGACAGACGCTTTAGACATTCCAGATTTCATGGGAAGTTCTGGAATCTGAACAAGTTGGACATTAAGGAACCAGAAATCTATAAGGTCAGTCAATATTTCAAATGTTCAAATTTCTAGCTGATGAATGTGTTTCTTTCAAATGAAAAACCCATTTTTATGTCTTCCCAAGATGATCTTTCTCTCTTGTCTAGAAATGTAAATTTTATTTTAATTTTTTTATTTTATTTTTTGGAGTGTGGGATATATCACTTTCAATGCAAATGTTATCTTTATAAATAAATAAATCCGGGCACTATAATGTAATTCAATAGTTATGGTTTGCTGTGAATAAAAGCTGCACAGTTTTATAATGAAGTGACAAATCAAAAAATAAACTGGATGTGGGCTTATTTTAGAGAGTGGAACTTCAAAGCCTACCACATAAAGACTCTTTCTCAACAGTATGAAGTTTCGACAGACAGGTCACCTTTTATAGAAAGATTAAACATGTGTGACAACACACTGTTAATGGATATTCACACTGCCGTCTTTTTTTGGCACAGGTTTGGATTGTTAACTTCTCTTTGCTTGTAGTTGTTCAAAAAGCAATTCTCTGCGCAAATATTGAAACGTAGAGAGAATACAATTGTTAAAAAGACTCATCTTTATGAAAAAAACATACAGTACCTTTTTAGATTTTAAAATGTAACTCTTTTGAGAGAATTATTGTGTTGCAACTCAATCCTAGTACATGTAATCTACATAATGTAAAATGGAGATTTCTCCCCTCTAGGGCTGGATGAATGAGATCTCCAACTACGACCCCGAGACATACCATGCCACACTGACGCAGTCTGTGTTTGTCCGGTTGGAGGGCTCCATCATTCGTCTTTCCAAACCCAATCACAACATTGCACGCCGTGCAACACATAATGAACCAAAACCTGATGTCACCTACATCAGCCAGAAGATCTATGACCTCACAAACAGCAAAGTATGTGATCAGTAAATTATTTCTTTTCTTTGGTTAACCTTTCTGCAGCATGGTTAAAAGTCATCTGTCGTTACTAATCAATGTACTGTACACCTATGTGAGCCTAGTCCAAGGCATGTTGAATGTGTCTATTTTAACTTAGATAAGGACAAATGTTTACAGAATTGGATATAGTGCTAAAACTCTTCAAAAAGTATTTGAAAAATGCATGATTTTTTGGGGAAAAATGTTTGAACTTTGTTATTCTCATGTCTGTCTTCCATTATCTTTCAAGGTATACGTAGTGCCTCAGAGTCTGGCCAGGAAGCGTGTATGGAACAAAAAATACCCCATCTGCATAGAACTCAGCAAACAGGATGACTTCATGTCTAAGGCCGAGGGTGACCGGTGGGAGCCCAGTGAGAGCCCCAGCACGAGGGACAGAGGAGAGGGCGCAGGAGGAGCACAGGATCGAAGGTCTTCATCCAGCAGAGACCTGACCCTCTACCTGTTTGGAAGGACTGGGAGGGAGAAGGAGGAGTGGTTCCAGCGCTTTCTCTCAGCGTCCAAGCTCAAGGCCGATTTAAAGAAAGCCACAGGCGTTGCAGTGTGCAAGAGCGGTGAGCAAAACTGACATCATCTTTTTCTTGTTTCTCTCACTAACATCCTGGTGATTTGTGCCATTATAAGAAGTATTTAGAATATAAAGAATTTTAGTGTTTTAATTATCTGTTAATTTCCATGCAGTGTTAAATTAATATTGATGTTTTGTTTTCTCTGTTCTATTTTTCTTTTTCTTCTAACTTGTGAGCTATGGGACACTCCTGAATTTCCGGATTTGTTTCCTGCAGTTAAAGAGAAAATATAGGGGGAAACTGTTTGTCTTGTTTCATTTGTCCACTGCTTTCTCCTCTTTTCCCAAATTTTGAACTGTCTTAAAATTAAGATTAAAACTTTCAACTGTCTTTGAAAGTTTTAATCATAAACTATACCACCAGCGTATTGACAAAATCTGACATTTTAAAATCATTTTTAAGAGCTGCTGTTCGTTAAAAAAACGACTACACAATGTACAAATATACCACGTAGGGCCCTTTAAACATTTTTAATCAGTTAGCTAATAACTCAAGTGAGACACAGGTTGAACTACCCAGTGAACTTTGAAGCATCTTCTGCATCCCTGTACCTTCTGGAAATCATGTTTTTGTAAAAACAATCCTTAAACCGGTTCGTGTTTGGACTTTTATTCAGCTCCACATTGAAATTGTTCAAAAGTTTTACACCACTAATTGATATGGAAACACTGTGTTGTGTGTTGGCTAGAATTTTGAGATTTAGTTTTAGAATAGTTAAGCCTAACTTCGATATCAAATACAACCAAACTTGTGCAACTTTTCATTCTAATTAAAAAAAACTCAGCTGTTATTCTGTGCCCTTGATGTGCTTTGAAGTGCTTTACATGACTGCACTTTCATTTTCTTTGTTGCATTTTAGGGATTTTTAACTTATAACTACACTGCAATCTGTTCTGTCATTAAAATGTATGTATTTAATTAAATTCAATCTGTCTCAAGTTTGAGCAGTTTTGAATCCAAAAAATCATTCGGTGCAGTATTTAACTGCTGACTTGTTTTTGTAGCGCCCACGGTTCTGAACTCTCACAGTCGCAGCAGCAGCCGGGGCAGTTTGGATGAACTGGCATCTCAGCCAAAGTCAAAGGACTCCTCAGCCTCCTCATCCACAGCAGGCATTGCCAAAGCGAAGCCACTACTGGACTACAGTGTATATATGGCCTCCATGCTGCCAAACCAGGCAGCAGTGAGCCCTGCAGCTACCAGCCCTGCTCCTCAGAGTCCTCAGAGCAGCCCGGGGTCTGATAAGAAGGTAACACATCTTCCATTTACACTATGAACACCTTTAAAATTCTTCTCACTGGTGACCTACTTGTTATCTATTTGCAATTTAACCGAGTTGTGTTAGAGTGCAAAGTCACGACAAACAATGACCTAGTGATGAAGATGATCCATCTTGAAATATAGAGGGGTAAAGGGTTGTATTGTAAGGGAGGTGAATTTTTCAGAACATTGAACTGATGTATGAAATTCTTTATTTTTTCCTGACTAATGTTGATATGAATTGCTGTGTCTTTAGCTTCAGAGCACCACTTCAGCTCCTGTGCAGCCCTGTGTGGAGGAGGAGGATGATAATGTTGCCTGGGTGAATGCGGCTCTCGGCCGTGTCTTCTGGGACTTCCTGAGCGAGCCCCACTGGGCTGAACTGGTCTCCAACAAGATTCAGATGAAACTCAGCAAGATACGGGTGAGTGAAACAAGGCCGTTACAACCTTTCACTGCAACAATGTGGATTTAAACAGGCGGTAAAGAAACAGGTCAATTAGAGTGTATAGAGAAGTTATACATGAATTTAGATGTGTGCGTCCTTTTTTCACCTATCGAAAATACTCTTTAGTATGGAAAGCCGATTGAAGATTTAATAGATATCCTTGATATCAAAGCTCAGTTTCCTGTACTAGTCAAGTCTTTGGCCACACTAGTTTACTAGTAGAACGTTGAAAGACTTACTAGTAAACTAGTAGAAGGCAAAAAGTCCTACATGTTAACTAGTAAGGTGCAAAATATCTACTAGTTAACTAGTAAGATATATTTTGTGTCTACTAGTTAACTAGTGAGCCTAAAAATGTTTACTAGTTAACTAGTAAGAGCAACAATGTCCACTAGTAAGCTAGTTTGACTCTTTTTAACCTTACTTGTAAACTAGTGAGGTTCAAAATGTTTACTAGTTAACTAGTAAGACCCAAATGTCCACTAGTATCACTAGTGATGCAGTTACAAATTTTACTAGTTTACTAGTGAGGCTCTTAAAGTCCACTAGTTAACTAGTTAGTGCAAAAAGCCAACTAGTAACACTAGTTCAGGACATTTTAGTGCTACTAGTGAACTAGTGAGGCTCAAAATGGTTAACTAGTTATCTAGTAAGAGCCAAATGTCACTAGTTACACTAGTAGTACTCTTTTTGGCATAACTAGTTAACTACTACGGTTTTAAATGTTAACTAGTACTACTAGTGAAAGCCAAAATGCGTACTAGAAACACTGGTTGAAGTACATGCTAATGAGTGGGTGGGATCAGGGCACTCTCTGAACCTTATCATTGGTTCTCCATATAGACCTCCACCTTCCACAAATTTAACCCTTTGTAAGAAGGAGCAAGTGCTGTGAAGCAATGGCTTCTTCCTTACTTTCCATGGAGAGTAAAACATTAAAATTATATATATATTAAATGTTAGAATTGTTTTATAAACTTAAAATAAGATAGAAGATCATTTTAGAACTGTTCTCATGATTTTCTTTTTCCTTTTTTATCCCATCAAGACAGTATTTACAGAAAACATAAGAAAGAGTACATCTTGAGGTCAGTAGAGTGATAAAAAACTGCCCAAGGTGCAATTGTAAGTTAAAAATGAATGTGTAAATATTTCATATAAATTCATGCTGTTTTTAAAAAGGAAAAAAGTTAATCAGATAAAATTATGGACTATAAAACAACTGGAACTTGATACAGAATTTATGTTCTTGTACTTAATACGTTTTAATTTGGCCTAAAGTCGGTAAACTAAGAAAAATAAAGGGATTCAAGATTAGGGCCACGTAAAAGGAAAAAAACCTAAAATTTAGAGATTCAAATAGTTAATTTATGAGAATAAAGTAAAATGTACGAGATAATTTCTTGTTTAAGTCTATATCAGAAGAGCAGCAGCCGCCTGTTCGAAAATGATAAACGTGGAGCATCTTGTTATAGTAAAGGTTTAACAAATAAGGAAATAGGCTCCTTCCTTGTGTAGTCTGTAAAAACAGTTGGACAAATATATCCGATAAGTTGTTTATCAGCACATCATCATCACAAATAAAATATCAGGAACCCTGAAAAGATACTGGAAGCAACTGTAACTTTTGTGGCAGAGGAAAATGCTTTAGGGGTTCTCCTTTCATCATTTATGCGCAGGCGGAAGGCTTCTCTATGAATGTACATTTTCGTAAATTTATGACTTTATTCTCCTAAATTTACATGTTTATTCTCGTACATACAAGATTAATCTCAAATATTTTTTTTTTTTTTTAAGATGGCTCTACTCCATCGTATAAATGAGCCCTAAAAATGTAATTTTATTATGTAAAATGAAGGTTAAAAATTGTACTACTTGCAAATGCCCCACAGATGGGGCTATACGTATATATACTGCTAATGTCTACAGTACTAGTACTACTAGTTGACTTTAGGCCTTTACTAGTGCTACTAGTTGCACTAGTAGCACTAGTCACACTAGTAGCACTAGTCACACTAGTTGTAACTAGTACACTAGTCACACTAGTCGTACTAGTAGCACTAGTCACACTAGTAGCACTAGTCACACTAGTTGTACTAGTAGCACTAGTCACACTAGTCGCACTAGTAGCACTAGTCACACTAGTAGCACTAGTCACACTAGTTGTACTAGTAGCACTAGTCACACGCATAGTCGACTAGTAGCACTAGTTGCACTAGTCGTACTAGTCGCACTAGTTGCACTAGTAGCACTAGTCACACTAGTCGCACTAGTAGCACTAGTCGTAGACAGAGACAGAGAGAAAGAGAGAGAGAGAGAGAGAGACAGAACAGACAGACAGAGACCCTTTTCTTGGCTCGGTGCCACTTCAGCTAGCACGGATAAGCACCTCCACTACTGTGGGTCTACCTGCTGAAGGTGTTTATAAACTGATGTCTCATTGTCTTAAGTCCAAGATGATTCAAATAAGTTGGCTGTGGCTCTAACTCTTGGGCAAGGAAGTGGCTGAGTACTCTTTCTCACTACAGCCTTCGCAACTACAATCGCCGCTGCAGCTCCGAGTGATAACGCATTTAGTTCCGGAAAGTCTTTCACAATAAGTCCCTTATTACCATCTATGTGATGTGCTTTTATTTTGAAGCAGATGAATGAGGAAGTTGGGTCTTGTAAGCAGCTGCAACTTAACATATCTCAGATGTGTGAAAATAAATACTTAAACAAGAAGATTCAGTTAGAAGCTTCAGTATTTAATAGGTAAACAAACAGAGACTAAAACATCTAATATTTAAGCTCATACAGGTTCATTTTAAAACAATAAATGGATTATCTTTCATCTCAGGTTTAGTTGCAGCTACATCAGCCTTTGAGGCTGCATTTGAGACTAAAAATAAAAAAACTAAAAACACTAAAATACTCTACACTGTTTATGATTGAGACAAGTCCCCTTTAGTATTTTCTTAAATAGTTTAAACATTTC